CAAAACACTATTTTTATTTTTAAAGCTTACTTTTATCAGTCGTTTAAATACTCGTAGTTCATTATCTAATCCAAAAAGACGATAAATAAACTTTAAATAATGTTGATTCATAAAATTAATGTTCATGTATACATAGGTGAACATACAGAAAACAGAAGTGATGAAGATTCCTCGCCAACAGCAACAGCAACAACAGACAACAATCAGCATAAATGGGAGAAATATGAAAGAAGCAACCTCCTTCACCTACAGACATGGGAAGCATCGTTTCAACTACAGGCAGGACTGATGAGGATATCAAAGCGAGGACAGGAAAGCAAGGCAAGCTTTCATTACTATCAAGTATGTGAGGAAATCAGCAGCACTCAGCATGAAGGATAAGATCCGGGTTTTCAACTCCTGTGTGTCTCTCTGTTTTCGACATAGAACTTTGCACCGATGTGCGACAGTTCGAGTCGCCACGCTCCATTTAGCACACAAAGCAAGAGAAGGAAGTAGAAGAAATGCATATGAGAGACAGTAAACAGAGGTGTGAGACCAAGGAATAGTAATAACGAAGAACAATATAGTTTCATTGGAAATCAGCCCGACCGAAAGCTGCTACCTTGACGTGGTGGTCGGGCTTGAACACCGCAATGACCTAATCAAGCTATACTGGCTGAGACTTATATTGCTTGAGGTCCTACCATGCCAGGCAGGTTGTTTGGATAGCGGCTAGAAAAAAAGCAGCTACCCAACCTAATACTATGAGTGAAACAAATTCACAAAATATCATGCCGGATCGGTCGGGGCCCGGATTAACAATGACCGCGCTTCCTGCTGCCGTGTCACAGGGCAGAAGTGATAAACATGCTACTGAGACACACCAAACAAAAACAGGCCGCGCGTGACCGGCATCAAGTAGTTGTCACCTGGGTTCTGCGGTCACGCAACTAACTTCCACGGTGTGGGCAGCCGGGAAGTAAAAACCACCAACACACTTCCAAAAGCACACGAAACCTTCCTGAGCATCATTCCCCTTCACTCACATCAACTTCCTTATCTTGCTTCTCTACTACAGCTAGTACTATTCTGCAGACTAATGAGTCATCTTCACCACTCTGTGACCACAAACAACGGTGAAAGCCATAGAAACACTCCCGAAAGCCACGTCACCAACTTCATATAGGAGCATTTAACGTCAGGACCCTCTGCCAAATCGGACAACAGGTACCACTAGCAAGAACTCTGGCAACTCGAGCCATGCATGTATGTTGTGTTTCGGAGACACGCATACAAGACCCGAGTGTGATCATTCCCTTGACCTCACTCGGTCAACATGGTGAATCTGGAAAATTCCCTTTAAGGGTGTCAGGAGACCCCTCAGCTAGCTCGCGAAGACTCGCAGGTGTAGGAATAGCACTGAGTGTTAGGGCAGAAAAATCACTTCTTCACTGAATTCCAGTAGACAGTCGTATATGCGTGGTCCATCTGAATAGGTCCGTTAGAAGAAGGAAGGACGGCGTTACCCGTCTTGTCTTTTCGTAGTCTCCACTTACGCACCAACAGACTGCAGTTCGGATGAACTAAAGGATGACTTCTACCTGAAACTGTCTAATTTGCTGCAAAAAGCAAAACGTTCAGATATAGTTGTTTTAGCAGGCGACTTCAATGCCCAAGTAGGGAAGTTGTGCCAGACTGAGAAGTATGTAGGTGATACGTACGGAGTCCCCTCCCAACGAACCGCCAACGGAGACCGTCTTCTAAAGCTCTGTTCAGATAATCATCTGATTTTAACTCCAATGTGAAGTCAGTGCTACTATACGGATCAAAGACTTGGCGCGTCATAAAGAGCACTTAGAACAGACTACAGGCCTTCATCAACAGCTGTCTTCGATCAATACTCAAGATCAGATGGCCGGCCAGGAAAGACCAGTAACAGGGATCTCTGGGAACGAACCAACCAGGAACGGATTGTGCAACAAATATGCAGGAAGAAATAGAGGTGGACTAGCCATACTCTGAGAAAACAAACCACCAAGTGACATCACACAACAGGCTCTCGAGTGGAACCAGAACGGGAAGCGGCGAGTTGGTCATCCAAGGGTGACATGGAGAAAGTCAAGTGAAGAGGAGATGATAGTATGTGGGTAGACGTGGAGCTAGGTGAAAACATTGGCAGAGAACCGAACGCACTGAAGACGTGCGGCTGAAGCCCTATGTTCCTCTAGGAACTAAAGGAAACAATAATAATAATGTATACATATGACATATAAACCAACTAATTCCTGTGGCTATGTCTTTATAAATTTATTTATAAATAGCCTGTTTGTATCATTTCCCAACCATACGTTCTCCGACTTAGTCTATCATTCAACAATAATTGATTACATTACACAAAATATTTTAACCAACGGTTCCACAGTAAGAAGAAAGTAGCAAGTTGAAGAAATTTTCTTTATTACTGTTATTGTTCCAAGAATCTAAACGTCTGCAAAACTATGCAAAATAAGATATTTAAATTACCAATCAGTATATAAGACAGGAACAGCGAGTCTATTATAATGTTAGTTCAATTTTTCGGAAAAATCCTAGCTATTGCCGATCAAGAATAGGGAATAAGCACCAAATAACAAACGATCTATTTGTCTATCGAAAAGTAAGGAAAAAACCTAAACACTTAAGTCAAACTAATCAGGTTAATCAAAAGACACTATTCTTCCTACTACTGTCAATATGAACAATTATAATGATTTGCAATAAGCCAGCAAATGATTATTTGCTTCTTTTCCTGTAATTCTGGCTGCAGATTTTCTGAAGAACAATCTTATTTACCATCAAATCCAAGTGGAATAACTATTTGTATTGGACATGATGTTGGATTAGGTAGCTGCTTTTTGTTTAACCGCTATCCAAACAACCTGCCTGGCATGGTAGAACCTCAAGAGACATAAGTCTCAGCCAGTATAGCTTGAATAGATCATTGCGGTGTTCAAGCCCGACCACCACGTCAAAGTAGCAGCTTTCGGTCGGGTTGGTGTAAGTCACTGATTATCCCCATATACAAGAAGGGAGACAAGTCTTCCTGTGATAATCACAGAGGGATTAGCTTGACTAATATAGTATCTAAAGTCTTAGGCTCAATAATCATGCGTAGACTAAGTGGTGCTCGGGAAGCACAAACACGAGAGAGCCAGGCAGGCTTTAGACCAGGAAGAGGGTGTATTGATCATATCTTCACCCTCCGACAGATTCTAGAACATAGGCATTCCTACCGGCGTCCAACAGTCATTATATTTCTTGACCTAAAGGCAGCATTCGACTCTGTCGATCGGGAAGTTCTCTGGAGATGCTTGGCTGTAAAGGGAATTCCAAGAAAATATATTGCACTGATTAAGGCACTCTACTCGTACTCATACAGCCAGGTGAGGGCTTACGGCGAGCTGTCATCTGAACTGATGACGACCAGTGGTGTCCGTCAAGGATCCCCATTATCTCCTTTTCTATTCAACTTCATCATAGATGTGTTAATGGACTTAACCCTAGGTGACTTCAGCGACTCAGGGATTGACTTGCTACCGGGGAATAATCTCGTTGACTTGGAATATGCAGACGACATAGTCCTTCTAGGCGAAGACGCTGACAAAATTCAGAGTCTTCTAAACACCTTGAGCCGCAATCTACGAATGTTTGGCATGCGATTCGCTCCCGCCAAATGCAAGATGATGTTACAGGACTGACTGGACTACATCGACGCCTAGTTTAAAAATAGGAAGTGAAGTGGTAGAGCACGTTGACCGCTTTACTTGTTTGGGAAGTACCATCAGCCAGTGCCAACGGGTTGATCTCTGACGAAATCTCAGCACGAATACAAGGGGCTCGTTTCGCATTTGTTAGTTTACGCCGACTCTGGCGTAGACGAGATGTTCGACTATCGACCAAAGGGCAGGTGTACTGCTCATCAGTCCGCTCCGTCCTCCTTTATGGTTGTGAGACCTGGCCACTGAGAGTGGAAGACATGAAAAGACTAGCTGTCTTTGATCATAGGTGCCTGCGTTCTATTTCCCGCGTAAAGTGGCACAATAAGGTGAGCAACATGGAGGTTAGGCGTAGAGTTCTAGGTAAACAGGGGAAATCAATCGACGAAGTTGTGAAGCTACAAAGACTGAGATGGTTAGGGCATGTGTTACGTATGCCAAGCCATCGCCTCCCTCGACGAGCTATGTTAGCGGATATAGGGTCAGGATGGAAAAGAGCTAGTGGCGGTCAAACAAAAACTTGGCATCAGTCAATGAAATCCACAACAGTTGGTCTAAGCCACGTAGAAAGGTGTAGACTTCCAGGCTGGGGTCCTCGGGACGGTAAAAATCTATGGTTGGAAACAATTGGTGACATGGCTCAAAACCGTTCTCAGTGGCGCAGATGCATCCACTCCCTGTGACTTATGATATTCAATGAAACTGTTTTGTATTTCTTTATTACTCCTTTGTCTCACACCTCTGCTTACTGTCTCTATTATGCTTTTCTTGTACTTTCTTCTCTTGCTTCGCGTGCTACACGGAATGTGGCGACTTGAACTGGAGCACATTTGTGCAAAGTTCTATGTCGAAAACAGACAGACAGAGACAGGAATAACTATTTGAAAGTGTTTTTATTATAGGATCTGACGATTGTGAATTTGATCCAGAGAAGAGTTATGAATGTACACTGTTGAAGGTCTGAAAATCAGTGCAGCTTTTCTTGATTTTAATCATTCTATATCCGATGTTGATTGATTTTTAATTCAAAAAGTTAACATTCAAGACAAATAAGGACAACAGTACAAGTTAGTATAAGTTAAACGTTTATTGTAAAACGTAGATAAATGATATAATATTGAATGCATTGACCAATAATTTCCTGTCTTTCTGATGCAGTTGAATAAATAATTTCCCTGTAAAAACTTCAGATTATTTAGTAAACACTAATGCGATAATGGAGATAAAATATGCTAAATATTTATCAGAAAATTTCAAACTAACTTGAAGATTTACAGTAGCCCATAACTTCCAGTAAACGGAACGCCAATTCCCTAATTCTGTATACCACTGTCTTAACAATTCCGTCCATGAAAAGCCTGGAAATATGCTATCGCCAAGTATGGTCGTTGTATTTGTAATAATATTTGGTGTTGAAATAGATCTACCAGGTAAATTTGACATGACTGAAGTTGGTGTACGCAGATATGCAGCGCAGTCACTGTCCTCCTTTTTTCGAGTTCGTACATCCGTTGGTATTGTGGATATGTTTGTGCTGAGTGCTGTGGGATAGTGTACAGGAACTATATTGCCCATTTGACCAACTATAAAACGATTTGGGAGGCATGGGACTAGAACTGATGTTTCTCTTGTCAGAACTTTGTCACACACAAGACATCTTCGTTGTTTTGCCAGTAACAGGATTCAACAGAAATGTGGAAAATTAATACAATATTCTTTTTAATTGGTCATAATTAACAAATAATGGCTATGACTTGTGCTAGCAAAGTAGTAGCTTAGGACGATATATATATATATATATACATATCAGTGTATATATGTCAATAATTTTAAAGAGTTCAATCTAAAGTGTGATAAATATGAAACGCTAGTGTATCTGCGAATATTGGAAGCGATGAAAATGGGATAACTTGTTCATTCACATTCTAATTTACCGTTTGGCGATACTTAATTTCCTGCTCATAATGAAGACACTAGTACAGCATGAAATTTCGTATTCACTTAGTACGCATTGAATAAATATTCATACAGTTTTATTGCTATAAAGTACCAAAATACCTTGTGAAATCAAGCTCCAATAAAATAAAATATTAAGTATCTTTAGTTCATCAGATACTTCAGAGAATTTACTTCGAACTTCGTTCTTCCATCTAATACATTTCGCTTTTATGAGTCTAATACGCTACTTAAATAATTCAGAGGTTTCACAAAACTGGTATGAGTGATTTCTGTTAGTTTTAATTTACATTTGGACCTATATATGACAGAAAGAAGCCATTTCAATAGAATATATATATATATATATATATATATATATGGTTACTCGACTAATTTCATGAATTTATGTGACAAATCCAACCAGGAGTATGACTCTGCATACTGAAATATAATTTCACACAAAACAGGCACCAGCCACCTATCTATATTATCAAACATGTTTTGATAAGATTCTGGCTTTACCTTTGGGATGAAGACACTGGAAAAAATTAATGACTATTAACCATAGTTTTATAAATCATTTAGTCAGAGCGATGTGCAGAAGTGAGAACTTCACGTGAATTTACAGGTAACTGTATATTTATCCAGTTTTAATCATTTCGTGCAATCAGTTCCCTTGATTAGTTTGGACAAAGAAAGGACGACCATATTTGCAGGACAAAAATGCCTTTATAAGTTCACGGCTTATATAAGCAGCTAACAACCTAAAAATGACAAACGCGAAACTGTATCATACCTTAAAATTATTTACACTCAAAGTGAGTATATTTTTTAGACAAGAAATAGGCTGGTAGTCTAAGAACCAGAGTTCATTCATACATTTGGTAGAACATTAGACAGGAGAGTATTTGTTTTCGTTTTAAAAACTTTCAATCGACTATAACAAAATCCGTGATGGCTATGTAATTTTTTATGGTTATAAAATCTTAAGTGGTATGTAGTCACTCACTTATACAGATATGCAGCATTATTTGGACAGTCTGATGTGCGATATGCGGGATCAAACAAGTGTTCTAGCTTCTTAATATACAATTTGCTTTAATAGAAGACATTCAGTCAACATTATACAAATACCTTTTCAGTTTATCTTTCTTATCCTTAATCTTGTCCAGTTGTTCTAGGTCCATTCCAGAAGCAATGCTAAAGAATGATGCAAGTAGTATTTCTCCAATTACCGTCCAATCAAACTGTCATTAAGACAATCCAAAGAGAAAGGGCTAGCAATAATCGTACTTGCGTGTTTACAAAAATAGTCCAGGCACTCGGATATCTCAATTTTAACAAACTATATTCACACAAATTACCAGGCATTGCATTTTCAAAAAGTTGGATGAAACTAATAACGCAAGCACGTTAGTTGTTGACAAGGAACACTCTTGATAAGCAGTGGGTTCAATGTTTCTTCTGGCATATGATAGAAGCCATTCAAAAATGTTCAGGTCACAGTGAACAAGTATTTCAACTCCATTAATAAACTGGTCGTCCTTCATCAGAAACTCTTTAAAGTATGGCATTTCAGTCACAAGAATATCCAGTTCACATTGGAAATCACCTTCAGCTGAGTAGATGCATTCATAAAGCACACATTTAGGTATTTTAGACCACTTCTTACCGCCTTTTGCTGCATCACACACTTTCACCATCACAAATGTTGGTTGCTTGACATTTTCATTAACTGCATATAAAGTTAACATGGAATTAAAAAGACAACTCACCCATAATTTTTTTAGATGAATCACCCAGGATAAATCTTATTACACAGTGTGACAGAGGACAAAGGCGACGGACGGCCGTACGCGAAGAGGGACAAATTGCCTGCTGATGACCGTTATTTCGTGTGCCCGCGAGTGAGATAAACAAGTGACACATTCTCTTATGATTGGTTAGTTTGTCACAGAGCTGCGGTAATTTCAAACCCAATTTGGTAGAGGATGGACAGTTGGAGTGAACATGTATCCGTCATCGAATTTCGTTGTTTCTTTGCAAATGGAATGTTAAAATTCTGTGCAAATTGTTGATTATGTTAAGAGAAACGAAATAAATTAGGTAATTCAATATCCAATATCCTGATTACGAGCTGGTATAAACCAGTGATTTCTTTGAGCTCGCTTCTTGATTGTGAGATAGAGGTTCCAGATCTTCGGTGAGCTTCTGCGTAGTAATTCCCGCCACTCGACTTCTTTGGCTCTGGTAGACTCCAAGAGGAGTGATGCGGGGATTGGTCAAGATGTGGTTTGTAGTATGCAGTATGTTAGGACTGTATTGCTGCCGTGAATGGAGTTTGACCTAACTCCCATTGGTCATTCGGTGTATTCATAAAAGCAGAATAGTGGTAATAATAATAATAGGTTGTAGTGTAGATAATGTGGGTTGAGATAAGTGAAATAATAAAGGTGACCTAAAGAAAAGATGGAGTAGTCGATACACTGAGAGAAGGTAGAATAGGTCGTGAGGATTTAGTTTGTACGCTTATCCATTGACAGCGTGGTTTTAAGTTTTATGAGGATAAGCCATTGAGACACAAACCTTCCATTCTGCATGATTGTCTAGCTTCCGTTTAAAAATCTCCACAGATGGCGCTGTAGTCACGGCCGCCGGTAAAGCGTTCCAGAGACGGCAAACTCGAAGCGAAAAGAACTGTGAGCGCACTCGAGTCTTTGGTCTCTGGTGTGCTATCCTTAGCGGGTTACCTCGTGGGAGCCTGTAGTCACTTAATGGCAGGATGCTTTTATTTGGGTGGGCCTGGTCATTTAAGATCTGGTAGACGGCGACGAGGTCTCCCCTGTGCCTACGGTAACTAAGTGTGAAAAGGCCCATTTCTTTAGTCGTTCCTCATATGATTTGTTGCGGAGGCCGATCACCTATTTTGTTGCTCGTCTCTGGACACTTTCTAGAATGTTAGCATCCCTTTTGAGTAGCGGAGGTGCAATGATATTATGCACCTCAAGGTGTGGCCTCACATATGCCTTATATAACCTTAAGAACAGTTCCGGAGTGAGAGCTCCCAGCTGCCTATGCATAAAGTGTAAAGTTGCGTAGGCTTTGGCGACGTCCCTCACGTAATTTCCACTGGTGTCTAGCTTTTCTGTTAGAATAAGACCTAGATCGCGCTCTGATGGAACACAACTCAAGTTCTGGCCACCAAGGGTGTAATTTACACTCTGTGACCTGCCCGAATGAAGTTGCACTACTTTGCACTTCTTTAGGTTGAAAAGCATTCCGTTAGCCAGAGCCCAGTTTCCCAGAGTTTGCGGGTCAGTCTGCAATCTATCTGAGTCTTCCGATGAGTTTATTGCTCTCCAAATCTTTACGTCGTCAGCATAAAGAAGCGCAGAGCAGTTTAGTTGGGAGGGCAGGTCGTTGATAAAAATCAAAACATCAACGGCCCTAGGATAGAACCCTGAGGAACCCTTGATGCCGAGGTGTACCAGGATGATCGGATGCGGTTGACTTTGGTGCAGAATTCTCTCTCGCCTAAGTAATCTTTCAGCCATGTGAGAAGTGCTCCAGAAACACCCGCCTTGTTTATTTTGTGAAGGAGCAGACCATGGTGAACTGTGTCGAATGCTTTCGCAAAGTCGAGAAAGATCACGTGGGCTGGTACCTTTTCGTCCCAGGATAGTGTCCAATCGTTCCAAGCTAGTAGGAGATTCGTCACGCAGGATCTTCCCCTCCTGAAACCGTGCTGTGCTTCGTGAAGAAGGTTAGTCCCATCGAAGTATTTTCTCATGTGGTCGTCAATGAGACTTTCCAATATTTTCGATATCACTGGAAGTAGGGCAACTGGTCTGTAACTGGTCGCATTCTGCCGGTCACTACCCTTGAAGATTGGGGATATGATTGTGAAATGTTTTGAATCTCTGGGTTATAAAAACTTGGTAATAGTCAGGAGAGTTTACAGCCATATAGCTGTGTTAGTTGATTTATTCGTAAGATAACAGTGAAGAACCAAGTTTTTACTGTTGTTGATTTGCAGCTTACAACTGTAATTCACGCAACAGTTCACTTTATTTGAAGGTTTGATGAAATGCAAGTGAAAAATTCGCGTGTCAACGTTGGAATCTTTGTGATATTATAAAATTATTTATGAAAATAAATATTTCTTTAAAGTTTTAAAGGTATTCTTTTAATACAACTCCCCTTTGCTCGTCGAAGGAATAATGACGCAGCCAGTTTTGGAATGCGTAATGACTTACTTTAAAAGAGTGATAATTTGCGCAGCATAAAAACACTAGGATAACTGTCTTCAACAGGATATAACTATATTACGTTATTTTCGATGTTATTAGCCGTCCTAAATTGGTTAAAATGTATATGTGGTAATCGCATAACAAGCATAAGCTCAACGTATAATTTTTTGCGGGCCCTGATTAAAGGTAAGCTTTTACGCAGTCGAATCAAAAGTAACTAAGATGTTGCACGCACATAAGGACTAATATCGTCTACGACTTTGACAGTAATTCACCAAATGGTTACCATATAGTAATTATTACAATACGAACACTTGTTTAACTCGCTTTTCTTCTCACTACTAATGCATATTTATACAATACACAAACGGATTAAATGTAACTGAAACATTCTATGCGAGACTTGATGGCGCACTGAGGAAATAATAACGGTTGACGATTACGACGCATTTCCAACAAGTATTACTACGTTGGCTATCAATTTCGTTAACTAGGTAATTTCCTCAAAATGATAAGTAAGTGGGATACAGGTAATCGACATATACGCATATATCAATGTAGTTGAAGAATGAACGATCAATTCATGGTTGTTTGGTCAAACCCAACTACTCAATATTTTTCGCAGGAGTCATCAATCCAACAGTCATCGTCTCATCGCTCGCTGTTCAGTGGAAGACAGAAAACAGTCAGAAGTATTATCGTGATTTATTGTTATAACATTTATCCTTGGACCTTGTGTGTAATAACCTTATTGTTAGTTACATATTGGCGTAAGAATAAAGGACTCTTGAGTCGCCAATCAGTGTTCTGGTTTTTCGCGTTGGTTATTACAAATTGTTTCTGAAAGTCTTCCAAGGACAGTGTGAGGTCCAGCGTAGTAAGAGCAGGACACTGACAGTTTCTGAGAGTTGGCTGACAGCATATATTCACAGAAGAAAAACAGTCAAACGGTACATATTCACATTAAAAGGGGTTTATAATAATTCAGTGAATAAAATCACGGCTGTAGATTTTTTTATGGCTACATCGTGGTCAAGTTAAAGTCCACATATCGTTCTTACCACAATATGTGGATCAGTTTCCCTCAGATGATAGTGACACTGGACCAGTCTTTACAGCTTTCAGCACCACCCGATCCTTCAGAAGAAATTAGTTATGATCTTTCCATAAAAAGATCGAGATTGTATTCCTTCGACTACCTACGGACGCACTGTGATATATCTAAGGATGTATACACATCGGGTGAATTAGACTTACGTCAGGTGAAAAATTCCGATCTTAGCCTTAATGAATATGTGACCACTGAGGGAACAATAGAAGAACCTGTAAGATTAGACCATATAGTGCAAGACAGATTTGAAGAATAATAGGACTTCCGATTTAACTTTCAAAGTTTGCCTATCTGCCGGTACGTTCGAAACTGGTAACAGTTTTGCACGTGTCTGCTCTGAAATTCATTTACTGCTTATTATCATATAATCCTTGAAATTATGGTCCAAATCTCTAAAACACGTGTTTATAGAAACACGATTGTTTTAGGTAGTGGCTCAAATTCGGTTATAACTGCATTACCGCTCGGTAATACAGTATGAGTGCAGATCTCACTACTGTGATACACGTGAAAGATATTCTGTTAGAGAACTCTGAGTTCTGTATACCAAACAACTTTCTGAAAGGCAAATGGACGCAAGTAGGTGACCTTCAGGATAAACTAGGTCAGTTTGATAGCATGTCACTGCCAGTCTCAAATATCATGGAGAGCCGTTCTGATATTGGCCAGGTTAAGTCTTTACTGAATGTAACTCAAAACAAGCTTTCGGATTTAGACCCAATATCCTGTCTGTTAAAACAACATCCCAAAATATCTCCAGACAACCTAAATAAAGCTGAAAATCTGATTGACTGCTTGGCTGCGGAGGTGATGAAGCGTATAACCTCTTCTCACCAAACTATAGTTTATAACGTCCCAGATTCCCTGCCTCTGAAGACTGTAAAACACAAAATCCTGATTTGTTGCAGCATGGCTAGTGTTCCATGTGAATGCAAAAGACTTCGTAACAAGTCTAACCAGGCTAACTGTCCCATCATTTTTAAATTCAGTAATTCCCTTGATGCCAGCAAGTTTACTAAATGTCAGGATCACTTAAGACTAAATAGCAGTCATAAGTCTATAACCGTAGCTCAGGATAAAACACCGTGTTAGCGCAGAATAATTCGTAGTAATAACCTGGTCACCTCCACTAGCTTAGATTTACCAAAAAAGGATCGTGCACAGCAACAACCACCTAGTGCTGAAACCAGCATTCAACAAACTACACAACAACCACGCTTGCCAATGGAACTAGGAACTGATTTAGATACCAGTGCCCCTGTGAATAAAGCCTCATCGAAAGATGTTAAAATAACTAGAACTTCTGCAGGTTGTTCTGAGAAACTTCCCCCTGAAACGTAGTAACCTCATCACGATGAACAAATTTCGCAGGGTTGAGACTAATGATGGGGAAGAATACTTTGTATTCAATAAGCCTGCTGAGAGTAAGAATGCCAACAAACCATCACTTGTTACGAAAAACTCCTCTCGAAACACAAGTATGTTTGGAGGTTTTAAGCATGCTGCACCTTATAGAAAGTCAGGCTCCAAGACTCCCAAAGTCTTGCAGCCAAAGCACCTTCCCTCGC